CCTCCCAGCACATGGAGGCCCCTGCCTGCAGGTCCCAGGCCCCCCAGGGGCTACAGCTTCCCCCCCAGACCTCCCTCCGCTGGTCTCCAGCCCCCTCCCCTGCTCTTGTACAACCTCTGGAGGCTGGAGATGAGCAGAAGAACAACAGGAGGCTGGAGAGAATAGGAGAACAAGCAGGAGGCTTGTTCCCCCCACACCTACCCTGGTTCATTCTCCCTGCTCCCCATTCATTCCCCTGGCTCCCTGCTTGCTCTCCCAGCCCCCCACACTCACCTGCAGTAGCAGAGAACAACCCGGAGGGTGGAGAGAGCAGGGGAAGTCTCCAGCTTATCTCCAGGGGCTGTCTCCAGCCCCCTGCTCCTTCCCCTGCTTGTCTCCAGCCTCGGATATCCAGGGACCTAATTTGCTCCCCCGCTGCAAATTTGCAGTGGGGGGAATGTTTTTTTTTGTTCCCGCATCTGCCTCTTGCAGCATCTCAAAGGGGTTTGAGACACTGCAAGAGGCATGTGTGGGCTCGTCTGGACAAGCCCCATGAGTTGAAGTAGGATCAGGCTGCCCTATGCCTCATCTGCATATAAATTTTTGGAGGATCACTACAGCGCGGTGCGGGGGGGGGGGGGGGGGCGCTAATTAGCACATGGATCCTTGTTGGGGGGGGTGGTTTCTGGAGTACACACACACACTGAGCAGTGCTGAGCTGTGGGGTCACCATGGCTTTAAATGCTATTGACTCTAGTGGTGCCCAGCCCAATGAACTATACAGTAAATCATGAACTTTTTGGCTTTGGACTAATATAATGTATAGTTTGTACTCTATAAGTCATTTGTAGAATCCAAAGAGCCATGTGTGCTTTCTTTTGGAATTCCATATGGGAGAAAATAGTGAGAATCAGCTGTACAAAGCAAAATGGTCTCGAGGCAGAGGAATGCTAGATGTCCTACTCTTCCTCTGGGCCAAGTACATGAGTCAGGCTTATAAACTAGCAACAGGTGCAGAATCAAAAACAGACCACTTTGTCAAGTATTTTGCAGGGCAGCTGCTGCAAGAGTGGCAGATGTATATGAAGATCAATGGGAACCCATGGGCCATGGTGTCCCCATGGTTCTGTGAGGTCCTCAAACCCTTCCAGGAGACGTATAAGCTGTGTGATGCAACCTTAGTGACCCTAGTGAACTACCACAAGATACAGGAGGTGGTAAGAGCAAGAGATATCATATTGCCTGTGATTTTACTACCTGGTGACAGCTGCCAGGCTGTATGGGAGCGAATCTTCCACAAGGACCTGCAGAAGGAGCACAGAGACCTGAACTGGCAGACAACCCACCGGGCACTACCCATATGGGCATGGAGAAATGGTGCAGGGCAGAAAGGCCCATCAAATTGCCCGAGGTCAACCTGCTGGTGGCAGTAAAAAAAAAAAATCAACCACCTCTTCTGGGACTGCCCATATGTCAGAGAGGTTTGGAATAAAATATGTGCTTTCCTTCTGGTGGTGACAGATTTCAGAACCCTGACTAGGGATGCGGTCCTCTACGGGCACCTGATCAAACAGCAACAGGCCCTGACAGCCAGCTTTAACCAGTTCATCTCCTGCTTCAGGTATGCCCTATGAAAGAGCAAAAACTGTTCACAAATAGACACTCATACCCTACTGTTGAGGACTGTATTAAAATGGGGCTAAGTGAAGTGTACTGGTACTACAGTAAGACAGAAAAGGACAACAGAAAAGAGATGGCAAATGGTAGGGAGGGGACTGGCATAGATTTTTCAGAGGCAAACCCTCTGAAGAGAACAACAAGGACAATGGTGAGGACAGCGATAAGGATGCTGCTGCTGCTGAAGACGATGACAAGTGAAAGCACTGGAATGGTGACTGGTGCACGGGCATGTGGATGTCTGGTGTGAACTTTGTAAGGGGACTGAAATAGTTTAACTTTCAAAGTGTGTTTTGGTCTGTCAAGTGAACCACTGTGTTCACTTGATGGTTTGCGAAAGGTATAGTTTATATATATATATATGTGTGTGTGTACATATTTTTGCCAAAAAAAAAAAATATAGTTTGTACGCTATGAGTGGGTGCCAAGGTGCTACATAAAAGTGTGTTTATGGAGTACCTGTGCTAAAACTTGCAGCAGTTAAAAAAATACATTTTAAAAAAGGTAGTATGTATCAATTCTGGTTGAAATATGTCTATTGTACTATATGTAAATTATTATAGCTATGTTTATTTCAAGAACAGCTTTTTCAAAATTGCCCCTCACTTCAA